AACCAGGGACACTAAAAAGTGATGCTTGTTGACATTGTCACACGTTTGCACATGTTGGGCACCGTAATCCAGGCAGGTAAACAATAGCCTTTTGCTAAAGCCACTTCGAAAGTAATTTTAATCCAACCCTCAATTTTGTAATTATCAATTTCTTCAAGTAGTTTGCTAGAGAGGTGCTGGACATCACATACACGCACAATAGAACTAACTTGTAAGATATCAATACAAACTCTTAAGATACTTGACTATTTTTGTAATTGCGAATCATTTGGAGCTACTACCCCAACAGTGAAAATGAGCAGCAAAGGTATAAAAAACAAGTTAGTAGCCAGTACAATGAAATCTGCAAATGGGAATATTCAGCAGAGCTTACAACGAAAACAATTGACACCATTTTGACTACGTTTGGCATCCACACCTACCACCTGGTCTAAAGTCCTGCCTGAGTTAGAAAGCTGGACATTCATATTCATGGGTAATTAGGCTGCAGTCTGAAGAGTCAAGTCCTCGTGTTATCAGCCTTACTCTCTACCTGTGAAGCCTCTCACATACAACACACTTCCACTTGCACACATCTATCGAGACTCAATTCACCGCAGGTTTCCCCATGGTAATAACTCCCAGACATATTGGGGAAAAATGTAACAGCAGGAAGACAAACAATATGAGTCACCACCCCAGGGACAGTGCAGTATGTCATCAGCCCCTCCCGGTTATAAATCCTACTCCCTTACTGACTGTGTGTATATTCCACAAATACATCTGCCTGTATGCTGGCAATATTATGAATGCATGTGACTTAACAGACTGGTCATTACAGGAACAATATTCAGATGTGGCTGCATGGAGATTATCACAACTTCACACACATTGCGCTGATGTCTGCGTGAGCATCGATGCACTTGTGTGCGTGCTTGAGGTGTGGACGTGCCAGCGACTCATAAACAAGTAGTAAATCCAACATCAAACCCCGTTTACTTTCCCGCAATTAAAATTCCATAGAGCAAATAAGAGCCTCAGACTATATTGAACTTCAATAGTCTCACAGATGGCCCGATCTATCTTTGTCAACATTTCCCATCAAAGGGAGGGAGTCGGGGGGTCCGTCTGGAATGAGCAGATAAACCGGTCACAGATGAATACAAATACACAATATATATATAACAAAATCGAAAGTGAGGCTGTAGCATGGAAATTAAACTCGCATAGAGAGTGAATTCACCGGGAGAATGAATTGAGCTGGCAAACTTCCCGCAACAGGAGAGACCCAAGTGATTAACTTTCTGTACACAGAGGCTGTATGGGGGGAGCAGTGATTTAGGAGATGATTTGCTATTTACACAAGTGGAGGGAGATATGAGGACAGAGTGGACGGATGAATGAACAGACTAATTAGAGATGCAACTATTAAATGTTAAAAAAGTTGGAGAAGTTTCTCGAGTATCCGAATGAGACACACAGCTATGCTAGCAGCTGCAGACAATGCTAACGTGCTAATGATTAGCAGGTTTACAATGGTATTATCTAACGCTGAGTCTCAGTTTGTGTTCTTATAATAATAATAATGCATTTTATTTATATAGCGCTTTTCACAACTCAAAGACGCTTTACAGTATGAGGGAGGGTAGAGAAACAAGGACAGGCAAACAAGAAAGTATAGTAAAATAAAAAAAATAAAAATGCACTAACACTTGCCTTTTTCGAGTGAATACGCCCATTTTTATTGATTGAGTAAGGCAAAAAAGAGAAAAAAGTTGTAGTCATAACGATCAAAGTGTTGGACACTGAACACTTACCCTCAAGGAAGAAAGCAGCAAACTTGTGAACATGGTGGCCGAGGAAGTCGCAGAAGTTTACCGGAATACAAATTCGAAGTGAGCGAACAAGAAGGCAGATTTTTGGCCGGCAACAATCACCATCTGATATTGTTGCGAATGCTCTGTCGAGTAGCAATTTGCCACTGAAAGGAACAAACTTTCAAATGTGGCGATGATCATTTTTGGTAAGCAGTACCCTGTCAAAATGAACACAGTAGGCAAGTAATTGCACAGTGTGTATGTTCTACATGGAAGTGTGCAAACGGAATAATCCAACATTGGAACACAGCAATATTTTGGCAATTTGTGCTAGCATTTGCTTTTTTAGCATAAAACTAATTGTACAGCTGAGCTTATGGGAAGTCATTAGTTCTTTAAGTATATCACTATGAACCAAAGTATTGGACAAATACAGTTAGGGATTATAAATGTTATAATTTCAATCAGGGGGACGTAGCAAAAGTTCCAATATCAATACAATTCAATATTTGTGGAGATATTCCAGTCAAAACTAAAAGGAAACGTCATAATGGCGCTAGAGAAGAAGACAGGGGATCAATAGGAGTTATTCTCTTGGGATTACGAATTCCTTTGCAAAGTATAATTGTAATCTATCAAATGGCTGTTAAGAAATGAAGAAAATTAAGGAGTGTCTAACTAACAGGCATTCCTTGTCAAACACAAACAATAGGACAAAAGTAGGAATGTTCTGTGTCTACAGCCAAATGAAAGGTCAGTCAGATAAGAAAAGTGGGAAAATATGGAAAAAGGCAAATCAGGTCCGAGGGGCTTTTTAATTAAATATAATAAAAAATATCAAGAATGCCTCTAGGGAACAATGAAAGGCAAGATGGTTAGACAAAGTTAAGAAAGGAAAGAGTAAAGAAACCGAGGATAAGAGAAACTATACAAAATAAGAGTAAAAGCAAAAAGGATGGCGCCGACAAGTCCTGTTGTTGCGAGCGATAAACAGCAGAAGGAGTAAACAGATGGAGAAAAGGGAAAAGGGGAATCTTTCAAAAAAAGCAGCACATGGTGAATTCAGATCCAACACTGCATTCATCCAAAAGAGCACAAGGCTCAGATGAGAGAAGTGTGGTCCAGCAGCAGCAAGTCAAAATCAGTCACTGTGATCCAGAGCAGCTACACACCCAATCCACAGGGAAACTCAGTGTGTGTGTGGCGTTCATGGACCCTCTCAGATCCAGCTCCTTCCCCCAACTGTCACTCTCTGAGCATGGCAAAGTGAATATGTTTGTGTTTTTATATCATTTATTCATGTGTGTCTCGGTTTGTCTCTGAGAATCTAGCGCAGTGTTTGGTTTGGTTTGTCCCTCTTGGTTTAGATATTCATTTTCTTTTCCGCTTGTCTGTCTGAAGAGTATGTTTGTGCAGGAGTGCCGTCACTGTCAAACTTTTGAACACAGTCATTCCACCTCAACAAACAAAGGGTGGATCAGTTTTAAAAACGAGGCGATAACATCTCTACTTTTGGTGGGTGTTCAAAGAAACCGTAGTAATGGTGTAAGAACAATGTTGTTTTAAAAAAACCTCTGCCTTATAGATAAGAGTAACAAATGCGTCACTTCCGGGCCAAAAATACGGCTCCGCCCACTTTTGGGGGTAAACAGCACTGTCATTTGAATGGCGGTCAATACAAATGAAGTTTGCCAATCCGATCAGAAATTTTTGTATCTTCAAAGAGCCCGATTCCAATGGCCAGTCAGGCAAACAATTACATTAAGACATTGGAAATCGATGATCGGGCTCGATATATGGTTAAATATAGCAGTAGGCGATCGATGTCCACTTTAAGGCCCCGCCCACTTTTGGGGAAACCAACGCTGTCATTTGAACGGCGATCAAGCCTGAAGCCACAGAGCTCTTCTGTTACTGTCCTTTTTTCTTAGAGGAAGTTCAGAAACACTGAACTCTGGATTTGTTTTAATGTTTGAGGTGCAATAAATGACACAGCAGCTTTTTGGCATGATAAAACTATTATGTTCCGCCTCGCTCATGAGAGTAACAGCTGGAGAAATTACGGCCTCGCCTACTGATTTTAATTTAACCATATATCAAGACCGATTGTCGATTTCCAATGATTTAATGTAATTGTTTGCCTGTCTGGCCATCGTAACCAGGCTCTTTGAAGATCCAAAAATCCACAGTTTAAAAAAAATTCTGATCGGATTGGCAAAAACTTCAGAATTTGTATTGACCGCCGTTCAAATGACAGCGTTGGTTTCCCCCAAAAGAGGGCGGGGCCGTCATTTTCACCTGGGAAGTAACGTAGGTGTTACTCTCATCTATATAGTGGAAAAGTGAGGGACAGTATGTGCTAGTAACAGTAGAATTGTGTGGCGTCTAGAAACTGGAATATGGTAAAAAAAAAAAAAAGCTAAGAAAAATGGTTTAGGGCATTTACTTAAGGCGAAATTGAAAATGTATAGAAATGTTTATTTCAAGATGTATAGCACATTATTGACAAATCGGGCTTGTTCCCATCTACTACGGTTCAGTCAGACAACTCTCGTGTTTATTTGATATGTTTATAAGAAGCAACATATAGTTTGAGTTTGGCGTCTAGGCGCGGGCCTCATCACTCCACAAATATACATAGAACATTGAGTGATGATCAACGCGGATGAAAATGGGCGCGACGTGACAATAATGCCAATTGATTCCATTAGTATTAACAGTACAGTGCACCTTAGCTGTGACAAAAGTAACCATACAGCGAGGTTTCTTTTAAAGCACATATCAGTTAAAAAAAATACAAGAGTAATTACATATCTTCTTTGCAAGGAATGAGACGAGACATAAACAAAGGAGAAGTGGCTGTCATCATCACTGTTGAATGATTTCTATGCATTACCACATATTTCCAGCCACAACGTCTTCAAGTAATTATAGTGAAAAACTGAACCAGTGATTTTAATGAAATGTATTATGTCAACAGATTTCACATGAGGTTAGTTGAAAGCAATACCTCATACAGTGATGTGAAATCTGTTGACATAATACATTTAATTAAAGTCAATGGTTCAATTTTTTTAGTATGGTTTGCAGCAAGTGTAGTGTAGATGCCTATTTTTTTTATGTGCTATCAGTGTGGAGCAACAGATTGGGAACACATTGTTAAGAAATCATTTTGAATGTGGCTGTGAATCTGTCTCTTCCTACCTCTATCTGCAGCATGGTGATGTCCTCCTCCCACTTTTTCCTGAGGGGCAGTTCCTTCTTCTTCAGGTCGATCTGTCTCTCCTCTTCATTAATCTCCAGCTGTAAATCCTTCGTCTCCTTCTCCAGGGTCTCCAGTGTCATGTAGCCCTTAGTTATGGCCGCCTCCTGGATGTTCACCTTTTCATAGGAGCTGAATAACATCTCTTCGTGCTCCAGGAGCTGAACGCCACTGTCGGGGACACACACACATCAAGACACATGATTTGACATTTGTAGTTTAGATCCACCTGGCAGCTAATATCGGTGTAAAGTTGTGAACATACAGCGAGTTGCGGCGCTGTATGGCTGTTTCATGATTCCTGTTTGTTTCCAGAAGTGCGTGCTCCTGGACGTTGATCATTTCTGTGAGTTTCATCAACTCCAGTTTGTCGTCCTCATACTCCTGAGTGATCTGACGGTGTTTCCAGGCAACCTAAAAGATAATACAAATGGTGTGATATGTTTTTAGACCCCATGAGACGCAGGGAACATTCATTCTGATTGTTGGAACTTGCACTGCGCACATATGAGCAGTGGCTCAGTCAGTAGGGGCTTGGACTGGGAGCTGTAGGGTCGCCGGTTCAAGTCCCCGACCAAACCTAAAATATGGAGTGTGGACTGCTACTTGGAGAGATTCCAGTTCACCTCCTGCCCTGCCGTGGTGCCCTTGAGCAAGGCACCGGACACCCCCCTTCCCCCCCTCACTCCCATTGCTCCCCGGGCGCTGTACAATAGCTGCCCACTGCTCCCAGTATAGACTCCTGGTACTAGGATGGGTTAAAAGCAGAGAACACATTTCACTGTGTGTGCTGTGTGCTCTGCATGTGTGACCATTAAAGAGGGTTTCATCCCTCCCAATTCTAATTCTACCGGAGTTTAAATGGAATGATTTCATTTGATAATGCTGAACTACAGAAGTATATTAGTTCCTTACGTACAGCCCCATCCATTAGAAATCCTTCTTTGTGTATAACTACTTACTAAAGGACGATATTATCCATCATGCTCAATGTCTTTTATCCCAAGCTTGAAGCAGCGTAGCCTAGAATTCAGTCTAATCATTGAAATAAGCTTTATTTGTATAGTTAACATTAAAATGTGGTGTAAATACTTGTCTTAAGCATTCTTTTTTAATGCTAAATTGATTCTTAAAAATACTTATTTTTTGATATCCTTTATATTTCTTTTTTTTATATACTTTGCAACTTATTTTTTTAGATTATTTATGTTCGCACCTCCAGATACCAAAGCTAATTCCTTGTATGTGTAAACTTACCTGGCAATAAACTTGATTCTGATTCAATGTATCTGTTATCCGAAGCCTTTTTCATCCTAAACATTAGTTTATAACAATATAGGCTACGTTTTCACATTATAACTGAAAAAATCCCAATAAAACAAGACAATTAATATTCAGATAGCACTTAAAGTTTATTTTCTCTGGTGCAGCCGAAATATGCTGCTATAAAATTAGCTTAAAGGTAGGGTAGGTCATTTTGGAGAAACCAGCTCGAGTGCGCTGGAGTTTGAAAATACACAACCGGAAAAAATCTGCCCCTTCCTTCAGACTTCTTTACAGAGCCCCTCCTCCAACACACACGAACGCACACATGACCAATGAGGGCACGAGATAAGNTGCAGGTGCTGATCTTTAAACAAATATATATGAAAAAAACCGATTTAAATAATGTATAATATAAAATAATAGCCGAAAATATATAGATTAGTAATAGGGCTGCTTCAGTTAGTTGCATTGCAAGCTTGTTATGATAAAGTGACCAGGCATGTTGCTCCCACCTGTCGCCCAAAGCCGACTTTGAGAGCATCGACCTCTCCCTGAAGCGCCATCCGCTGCTGAATCCTGGCCTCTTGGTTAGGAACAGCATCTAACTACAAGTCAAAATGTAAAGTTGGAATAAAAAGTCTGGTAAAATGTTCATTATGGAAAAAAATCTGCTGTGTGTCAGCGCTGAATCTCAGTAAAGAGCTGTATGCATGTATCATCATTTAGTTCCCTGGTTGTACTTCATGAGTTTACATACCGAGGAATAAAAGACTTTGAAATCAAATTCAGTCAGTGCATATTGAATCAAACATTAAACATTGATTACACAATAATGAATACTATATATCAGAGTTTCTCCGAGGCCTCTCTGATAGCCGTTAGATCCAGTGACACTGGAACTATTTTTCCCAGAAACTAATGAAAAATTAAAGTCTCCGGGCTCGTCTCTGCTGGGTTTTCAGGCCTCCTGTTGAGCGGTATGAGCTGCACTGCTCCATATTTAAAAGATGTTAGCCCATGCAGGAATAAGAAGGCTAAATCAGAGTTCGTCCTATTTGAAACAAGTGTGACACATCCTCGTCTAAACGGCCTTCACAGCAAAATGAATGAATTATTGGAATTGAATGAATCTTGTTGCTTTGTTTTTAATATGTCCTCAATGCATGAATTCCCCGATGTGCCATTGTGATTTCCTTTCATATTGCTGTGCGTCGGTGACTCGTGCTGACGCATTTCCCATGACTCTTTAAAAACTGTGAACATCAGTGAAATGACAGGAAGCTCAACTATAAAAACGAGTTTCTGTTGTAACACAGATTACGATTTAATGTGCCAATAACTGACAATGTGACATTTATTATCAGAATTTTCCGAAATGTGTAAATTAGCCCTTTTCTTTTTTTTCAGACCAAAGTGTTTCAACATTGTGAGGTTTGCTTGTAAATTCCAAATATGTATAAGCTCCAATAAGGTTGTGAATGTGAAAAAAAACGTCTTAACTTCTTTGAAAAATAACTTTTAGCTTCTAAAATGTGCCAAAATTAAAAGAAATTCTTCAAAATTCAATTAAAGGAACACAATCTGCTGGTCACCTGAGATTTGACAACATTGTAGATGGATTGCGTGTGCTCTAGCTGCTCATTGGCCAGAGTCAAAGCCTGCTCCATCCTCTTGAGGGCTTGTGTCTGCCTGCAGAGAAACAAAATCACCTATTAAATATGTATCCGTGTGAAATAAGGCTTTGACTCCTACACAAAACTCAGAATTAGCCTCATTATATATGCATTCCTGTCAAATATTCTGGAGTTCGTGCTAGAATGCAGTTGGAACAAAAGCTCTGATCTAATCAAATATGTAAAATGTCTTGAATGGTTGTCAAACGTAAACACTGACACTTCACAGAGTAGTACAGCAACACTCTCACACCAACACTTCACTTTTGGGCCTGAGAGTGCCTTTATTGGTGATACAGTGTTTAATCAGGGAGATAGAGAGGACTACATTGCCTGAAACTTTCCCCGTGTACTTGGCAGCAGATACTGCATGTGGGCCGCCAGCTCTAATCACCGATGCCCCAATGGAGCTCATTTTTCCACATCAATCCGTACCTATTTTTCTCCTTGAGCTGCACAGATTGGCTCTCATACAGGTGCTTCCTGTCGCACATGATGTTCTGCAGCTTCATTTCCAGGATACCTCTGGTGGGGAGAATAATAATAAGCATGAGAAACACACAGCAGAGACCTCTCCTGTCGCTCTGAGGCTGTGGTCCAAAGATCTTTGTTGGACAATTTGTACTGAATGAAATTAGACATAAATATTTATGGGAAAGTCTTAAATACATAAATATGTGTCCCCAGTGTGTCAGGGAACTCACCAAGTGTCAGAAAATAAAACCATCTCTCTTTTCCTCCATACTAGGGATGGGATTACACATTACAATTCTATCCGTATTGTAATTTTTTTTTTGTTTTTTTTTGGGAAGGGTTCCTAAGTTGATTACATATTATCAAATGGAATAATTCAATGTATATGACAGTGCCATAGCTAAGTGTGTTACGTCTAAAGGTATGTTTTGCTCCGCTCAACGGTCCCTCACAGCGGGCAGAGCTGCAGGTGCTGATCTCTCTCTCTCTCTCTCTCTCTCTCTCTCTCGCGTCCGGTTATACTTCACTCGCGTGTATGTCCAAATCAATCAGATCTAGCTAGTTGTAGCTAATGATATGGCTGCTGCCCCTCCCTACACGCAGATCACGCAGACTCAAACCTCATCTTATGCCCAAATTCCAGCTGAGAGGGTCTTCTCTACAGCTGGCCTGATTGTGAATCGCCTCCGCACCCGCCTCTCCCCTGAGTAGACATGGNCTTTACTCTTCTCTACAGCTGGCCTGATTGTGAATCGCCTCCGCACCCGCCTCTCCCCTGAGTAGACATGCTCATATTCTTAAACAAGAATGAGTATTGAATAGCTGCATTCTGTGCATAGGCCATGTTATAGGTTGTTGATCTCTGTTGTAATAGGGTTACGTTACCCTAACCCGTTATGTTGCTCGTGTATGATCCTCCTTTCATTTAAAAACCAAGTTATGTCTTAAGCATGAAAGCTGTAGGCCTATAGCTGTCAACTGTTCAAACTGTGATCACCAGTTCAATACATTTGACAAATTCGACTTGGTTTCTATACTTATTTGAACATGTATTTCTTTATTTTTCCCACATTTTTTTTGTTTTTTATAGGATATGTTCATTTCGGTTAATCGGTAACCGTTTTTTTGGGGGTCGAATATTCGAATATTCATTTGCGTTCAAATTCCCATCCCTACTTCGTACCCAAATCTCTAAAAACGGGGGAACAATGAAGCTGATCAAGATTTGCCAACCGATATGACGTCATATTGAAAATGTGGGCTGGCTTTACACCCACAGCACTATCAGAAAGTTGCTATCAGAAACAATGCCTGACGTGTTTTGGACGTAATATGGTCTTTGTTTACATTAGCAAGCATCGCTAACACTCAGAGCTAACCAGTACTGGAGAGAGTATTTGTAAGAAGCAGGATATACAAAGGAACTCACTTTGTAGCAAACCCACGAGAGAGAAAGCATTTGAGCTCCACTGTTTCAGAAATAATCCTTGATGTGGTTTTGAACATATAGCGTTTAATCACCGCAGCATTTAGACAGTATCTGCCGGGTCCCGCATGAGCAGGCATAAGCTCCGCCCCCTCTTTTAAAAATGTTTGTTTTAAAGCTTTATACCCCGAATCAGCACTTTAGTAACAGGTTTGAAATAGAGGGATATGAGGCATGGCTAGAATGGGTGATCTGTTTGGTATGTTGAGCAGAAAACTTCATAGACATGTTTTTTATATATTTGTATATATCTGAGACCTATGCTATTGCCTAAAAATAGCATGATGGTGACCTTTAAGATAAAAGTTTGAAAATTTTTTAAAATACTATATAGAAGTTTCACGATGTTTTATTTTTATAATCACCTTCAGTAGGTGACACTTGATCTTTCTTGAAGAGAAAAAAGAAAATTATGCCATCCCAGAATTCCTTGCAGCAGAAACATTTAGGCACACATCGTTTGTTCACGAAATCAACAAATCTCTTTGTTTCACTTTTGTGAGTTGCTAATATTCAAACCTTGGTAATGAAGAAATACGTTTTTTGTATGAAACCTCATGATGAGAGAACACACGGGGAAGAATCAAGGATGCTCTTATAGTAGTCCATCTTTGGAACATTGACATTTCATCACAGCAAATCCATTTTCAATAAGGTCTGCAGTCGCTTCATAGCCTCGTGTCATTTCAGGTACTGCGGATAGTAAATATTAAATGGAATTGTTGTTATTTAGGGCCTATCTGGTCTTTCAACTAAGCAAAGTGCTTATACACAACATACACATTCATACACTGATGCCAAACTGCTCACCGGGATTTCATTCTAATTCCCATTCAAAGGCGTTGCTGACATTATGAAACTAAAATAAACTGTATCTCAAAGAAGTCTATTTTCCTGTATTCCTGAGAAATTGAAGGGTATTTGTTCATCATCAAATGGAAAGCCATAGCTAATTGGGGCAATTCAGTGTCTTTCCCATGAACACTGGACAAACTGTCGATCTTCCATTAGTGAACAACTTATTCTACCTCTTGAGCCAAAACCACTCTTTTCAGTTGTCTTATGTCCATGAGTACTTCTTCATATCTTCTCATGACTGTGTGATGTCTTTAATTGAGGTCAATGAAAAGTGGTTAGGATCAGACTTTCAATGTTCTACTATTTGACCTCAGCTTGACGCTCTTGCCATAGTGTCTTTTTTTCGACTGTAGTGCGTACCTGTTCCCCGTGCACTCCGCCTCCTCCTCCCTGCTGACCTCCTGCTCCTTCAGCAGCTGTCTGCTCTCCCTCTGACTGCCCTCCACTTTGGCCGTGACGCCCTCCAGCTCCTCGTTCATCTCCTTCTTCTTCCACCTCAGCACAAGGTTACGCTCTTCCACCTCCTTCACATGCTGCTCCATTTCCGAAATCTCAACATTTAGGGTTTCCATCTTCTTCATTGCTGATCTAACATGTTTAAAGGAGGTGATAGAACATTTGAAACAAAGTACAAGTGTAAGTATGAGACAAAGACAAGAGTTATTTTTGCACTGCCATACTGCATATCTAATGAAACACCAGCGTGTGTGCATACATCTTTTACACACACCCTCCAGTACCCCTAAGCTTTGTGAATTTCAAATTACAAATCTCAGCTCGCATGGCAGTTCTACTGCATCACTTGCAAGGCAAATATTAATGTGAAATAAACATAAAAGAGACTGCTGTGCCAGTGGATCCATTCTCTGGTGATGAAGGGGCTTTTGACTGCAGCTGCACTTGAAAACTAAAATTAATGATGTCTGGAGCATATGATTTTTTTTTCATTTTATCAAATGACTTCTCAAATTATTGAGAATAATTTCACTGTCGGTGCACATTTTTTCAGTTTGTCATTTGGAGTTAAGTGTGGCTAGAAAGATATATTACAAAACGAATGCTTCTTGCAGGGTAGTTAATGAAGAAATGTATATTTATTTAGCAGTAGTTTTTTTAGATGATTTGTTTTCTTGTTCCACTAAAGTGACCAATAGGTGCAAACCCACTATAACGGCCCAAAACATTTCCATTAGGGGAATATAATCCTCAAATGTCAACAAGTGCTTTGGTCCCAGGTGTGTGCATCACTTTTTAGTGTCCCCGTTTCCATTGTGTTTTGAGCATTTTGAAGCTTTCTTTATTTGCAGTGATTATTATTATTACTATTACTATTACATGTAATTTGTTAGACGCTTTTGGCGCATTTCCACTGCAGCGGGTAGCCCCGTTTAAGCGTCCTTAATCGCCCTCAAGCGGCCAGGCCAGTTTTTTTGGTGGCCTTTCCATATAGCGTAGCACCGGCTAGCGGGTACTTTTTCCCTCTTTTTCCTGCCCCGTAAAATCGTGGTTCTATCAGGCCAGAGCCAGGGCTGAACTAGTGACGTCAACACTCTCGACTGCTGATTGGTCAGAGAGAATTGTCACAAGATCGCATGCGAGATCATCCCTAGCGTTGGATATATATCTAGAAGCAAGCTTTGCAGCATTTTTCTACACAGCATTTTTGTAAACGGAGGAGCTACAAAAATGGCAACGTCAAAGAAAAGCACACCGTGGTCGACCGAGGAGGTGACGACGTTCCTACATCTCATTGGCCAAAAAAAAGCCGATCGCCCCGCCTACACTGCGTTGCTACCCCAGGTCCTAAACTGTAATGGAAATGCGCCACGGCCTCGGACGGCCTGCGAGGCGCCCGAGGTCTGAGTGAGGACGCTTAGGGACGCTTAAACAGGGCTACCCCGCTGCAGAGGAAATGTGCCTTTAGAGACCGGCTGGTGAACATAGAGGATCATTGAGCAGATAAAAACTGATATTTATCTACAAAAAGCCGAGCTTAAAAGGAGAACATTGGACTATTGGAAGATTCATCAGACGGAAACAAAAACACAGTCACTGAAGTGCCCTCTGTTGGATGTGGAAATTAGTCGACTAACAAGTTTAACAAATCAACTTTAAGCAACACTG